CCCCTGAGGCCCGGGCCTCTGGCCAGCCCGCGCCGAGCTGCTGGAGGGACGCGGGAGACGCACGGGCGGGTTCGAGTCGCTGCGCTGGCCCGCGGGCTCACACGCCACGCAGCGGGTTGGTCACACGGCCCATGAAGTGCACGGCGGTGGAGTCCTGCTCGTAGATGGCGAACAGGAACGGGCTGTTCAGGGTCACCTCCAAGGTCTCGGGGCCCGCTGGCTGGGGGGCAGACTCTGTGGGCGGCTCCTCCTCGTCGGCTTTGAGCTCAAAGAGGATGCTGTTGAGCACCTGCGAAGCAGCGGGCGTGGGCGGAGGGCAGGTGGGCACGGTGCCTGCCCGCCCGCGGGTCCCTTGCTCACACGCCAGCTCCTCCAGTGTGGCCCTGGGGCCCGCCATGTCCCCCTGCACCTGCCGCCCCCTCCGCCGCGGCCACCGGTGCTGGGTCCTCCCCGGTTCGGCATGTGGGCCGCCCCCGCGGTCTCTGGACCGGGAGGGGCAGGGACCAGCTCCCCCAGCAGCAGAGGGAGCAGGCCCTCGTCACCGCTGAGCAGGCGTTCCCCGGGGTGGCCCCGGTTTGGGGCGCTGACTCTGCCGGCCTAGAGCTGATCCTGCTGTGGACCCGGGCAGGCCCCGACTGCTCTAAAAGTCCCTGGGCTCCGGGCACCTCCCCACCTGTTCACACCCGCCTGGCCATGCCCTCCCCTCCATCCTGGCCCTGCCCGTCCACGCTCCCGCCCCACGAACACACAGACGGCTCGGCCGCACCGTACCTGTCCGACCCTGAGCTCTCGGTCGCTGATTCCGCCCAGGTTGGCCCCGGCGCCCAGCAGCGTCGGCAGCTTGGCCTGGGCGAGCAGGTCCTGCACGTCATAAGTGTCTCGCAGCGCCAGCTGGGGCACGGTCAGGCGGATGGCCCTGGGGGACGGTGTGCAGTTAGGGAGGCCCCGGTGGCCCCTGTGAGGCCCGCGCCACCCAGGGAGGGAGCGGGGGAGGCGGGGTCGGCCTCCGTGCCCCACACGTCACCTGCCAGCTCAGGCGGCCTCAGCGAAGCCCCTTCCAGCCTCCCAAGAGCCCACATGTGTCCCCAGGGACACAGCGACCCCTCACGAGCTGGTGGCACAGCAAGCCCACAGCAGCCAAAGGGGGAGGGTGACCCCAGTGTCCATCGATGGATAAATGGACAAGCAAAATGCAGTCCGTCCACGCAAAGGGACATCAGTGTTAAGGAGGAAGGCATGTGACACAGGCTGCCACATGGGGAACCTCGAGGACATTACGGGAAGGGAAATAAGCAGGCGACAAGATGACAAGTACTGTGCGAGTCCACCGGTACGAGGTCCCCAGAGTCAGAGTCACAGGGACACGGAGTGGGAGAGCGGGTGCCAGGGTGGGGGAGGGGGAGGGGAGTGTGTTTAGTGGGGACAGTGGCAGTTTGAGACAATGAAAGGCTCGGGCGGTGGCGGGGAAAAGCGTGTCTCCCGCACCAGGCAGGTCTCGTGAGGGCCCCCGCTCTGCACAGCTCCGTGCCCGGGGCTCAGCCAGCCCAGTGCTGCGTCCCCCACTGTGCTCTCGCCCTGGGCAGGAAGGGCCGGGGGTGTCCCCGCCGCCCCCCTCACCTGGGAGACAGGTTCTTGGTCCACATCGGGAGGTCATACTGGAAGGCGAGGGCCTCGGCCTGCGGCAGGTCTGAGGCACGGTGGGGCTGGATCAGCAGCAGCCAGGCGTTGTCACTGAGAGGCACTCGTGTCACAGAGAGGTTGCTGTGGGTGTCACTCCAGTGCTGGAAGGTGCCCGTGCTCGAGAGCATGGGGACGGGCACGGAGGTGGCGTTGTCCACCCAGAAGTCCCGGAGCCCGGCCAACAGGGAGAAGCCCTTCATCTGCGCTGGACCAACAGGGACGCAGGAAGTGTCACCGGGCCGCAGACTCTGGATCCCACCCCGGTGACAGTGCGTGCTGAGCAAACGGCGCCAGAAGCTCATGGGACCCCAGTCGCCTGCCACCCGCCTCGCTATTTGGAGACACCCCACTGTGCGTGGGGACCCCTAGGCCGCTGCCCTGGGGGGCCTGGGAGCTGCCGCGCAGCTGTTCTCTGTCACGTGGACACGCCGGGCCGGGCGGGAGTGGCCGCACCTCTGCCGGAGACCGAGGCAGGGAAGGCCCGGCGCGAGGCCGGAGGGCCGGACGGCGGCCGGACTGCAGAGCACCCGGCGCTGCGGCGTCTTGGGCCCGGTTCGCCTGTGTCCAGGTCCCGCCTGCCTCCTGTCCGGCTCCGGCCCACGGGGCCACGTGGACAGGCGCTTTCCCGAAGTGAGGCCCCTTCCATGACACCAGCGGCTCTGGCTCTGCCCTCGTGGGCACGACCGCCTGTCTCCGTGAGCCCTTCTTCCTGCTTGGGGACGCAGGCCACGCCACGCTGTGGCCACCCTGTGCCATCTGTGCCAGGACCTGGGACCTGAGCAGCTGGCTCTGTCCTCTCCCTCCTGCAGCTAAAGGCCCCGGGGTCCTCGCCATCATGGAGCCCCGCCCAGCTCTGCCTTTCCCTGCTGGCTCATGGGCTTCTGGCCCCAGGAGGCGGCACACCTTGATGGAGCCTTGTCCGTGTCCCTCAGACACGCCCCTCCCCTGCCCACCCGTCAATCAGGGTGCTCACGCCTGCCCCGCACCGAGCACAGGCCCCCGGGACGCCCTGTGGGCAGGACGCTGGCCCACGCAGCTCCGGCCACCGAGGGCCTCCAACCTTCCCAGCAGCGTGGCGTCTCTACCTCCGGTCCCCCCGTGTTTCCGGCCCTGCCTTCCACGGGTGCCTGGGCCCAGCCGAGTTAGGCCCACGCAGAGCCGCTCCTGCCCCGGCCGACCCCAGGCCCCGTCCACGCCCCAGCGTCCCTCGGAGCTCCCTGAGCCTCCCCGACACGGGCGCTTCTGCAGGCTGTGTCCAGCCATTCGCCACGGGCTCTGGGCCCCTGAACTTTAACCTGCCGGGCCAGGTCTGCACCCCCTTCCTGCCCGGCCCCCCGAGATGCCAGCTCAGAGCGTCGCAGACACTGAATCCTCACGGCTGTTTGCTGAATGGACGTGCAGCCGTGCTGGTGATAAACGCCACCACGAAAGTGATCCCGGCAAGCTAACGGGGTGTTTTACACGGGACGGTGACCTCGAGACACAGGAACCCAGCCCTTCTGAGTGGCGGCTGGGCTGTGGGGCCAGGGGAGGTGGCTTTGGGTCCCGGGTCCCCGGCTTGTGGCTGGGCCACCTCGGAAAAGTCACTTTGTTTCTCTGAGCCTCTGTCTTCCCGTAACCAAGACAGCGACATCTCGCTGCATCGCAGGGGACCAAAGCCGAGGTTGAAAGGACACGGCCACAGCCACAGCCGGGCAGCGGGTGGGCAGGCGGACGCCCAGCCAAGGAGCCCCGCAGGGCCACCGCCCCGGCTCCTCGAGGGCAGCCCCAGGCACCTCCTCACTCCCGCCTGCTGCCTGCTCCGAGGCCCCGCTCAGCTGGGCCTGAAGTTCAGAGATGGGGCTGGGGGGACCCCGTGGCATCCGCCCGGGGCACAGCCCCCCGGAGGGCAGCTTACCTTGGAAGTGGATGTAGGCATCGAAGAGCAGGGTGCTGTCTGGGTTGAGCCCCATTACGGGGCTGCCCAGGTCCCAGCCGGTCGCGGCCTCCATGAACCTGTTGATCTTCTCAGCAGCGAGGTCTGGGTCGGTGGCCAGGTCCAGGGAGCGCGGGAGGGTGACCGGGGCGAAGCGGGCCAGGCCCTGCACGAACGGCTGCTTCAGGCGCAGGCCGGGCGCCGTGAAGAGGCCCAGCACGGTGGACAGGAGCAGCCTGGCCCGGCCGCCGGCCCTGCCCCGGGCCACGAGGAGGCCCTGGGCCGTCTGCAGGGAGGCGAGGACCTTGTGGCCGTCCAGACGGGACGTGCAGCTCTGGCCCTCCCCGGGGACCCCCAGGAAGGCCTGCAGCCTGCTGGCCGTGGGGTCCAAGGCCCCCAGGTAGAAGGAGGCCAGCGTGCCGAAGACGGCCGTGGGGGAGAGAACGGCCCCCCCGGGCGCGCCCCGCGTCTCCGCCCGCGCCTTGTGGAGGCGGGAGCCCAGGAAGTTGAGCAGCATGCCCACCGCAGCCACCCGCGCCTGGTCGCCGTCCTCCAGCTTCTGGGCGGCCAGCGCCAGCTGTCCCCACAGTGCCTCCTCGTCCACGGGGGGCGCCCTGGCCTGGATGGGGGCCGGCGTGAGGCTCGGGTGCGGGGCGGGCTCCGCAGTGGGCTTCTCCAGCCTCTCGCAGTTGCTCTTGCTGTAGACGAGGAGGTGGAAGGGGTGTATGTACACCCGGTCGCCGGCGGCCAGGCCAGCCCAGGCCAGGACACAGAGGACGGCGGCCCCGAGGCTCGCTCCTGCGGGACTCATCTCGGGGGGGCGGCTCCTTCCGCGCGGCCTGGAACGGATTGCGGAGGTGAGCAGTGTCTCCAGCCGAGGTCTGGCCGGCCGGCTCTCACCTGCAGCCGCGGGCCCGGACCAGCCCGGACCAGCCCACCCGTCTACAGATTTCGGGGTGCAGCGCCGGCCTCCAGGGAAAACACTGTGCAACCCAGAGGCAGGACGCACGGCCACGGCCACGGGGCGCGGTCTGCAGGGTTCCTCGGGGGTTGGCTTTGTTTTCCGTTTTGTTTGATTTTTATAGTGGTGAGAACATCCCTTCCCGTCGCCTCACACAGAAGACAGAGCCATCGGGGGAGAAGCCAGCGGGAGCAGAGCAGGCCCCGCCCAGCCCAGGTTTGGGGTAAACAAGCCCCCTCCTGCCTCGCACCCCGCGGGGCCCAGACTTCGGGTGAAGCAACTTCGTGGACGTTGTCCAGGCGGCTGCTGTTTGCCCTCGGCTGCGATTGGCTGCCGCCTGGGCGGGGGCACTGCGGGCGGCGGGTGGCCCGGGCCGTCCCCTGCCTCCGTCCCCTCCCTCCCCGCTCCATGCCACCGCTGCTCCTGGCTCTGTGGCGGAGTGGAGCCGGTCAGGGGGCAGCTCGCAGCCACACAACGCTCGCCCCTGCCAGCCACTGTCCCACGCTTTGAGTGTCCGCCCACCCAACCTCGTGACAGGCCCCCTCCCCGCCCAGGCCGCCTGGCACCCCGGCTCCCCGAACTCACTCACCCTGCTCTCTGTCCCTTCCCCTACTGCCCGATCACCTGTCACTCCACCGTGTACTGAGTCTATGCTGTTCAGCGTTCACTGCCAGCCTCCTGTGTGACGTGAACCCCACGGAGGAGAGCAGGGCTCTTGCTGTTTAGTTCGTGGGCATGCACCCCGATCCCCCCAGAAGCGCTGGGGCACGGTAGCTGCTGGACGAGTACTCGCTAATCGAACTAATTAGGGGGACATTGGGGTTCCGTGACTTGCTCCAGGTCACACGGCTAGTGAGAGGCAGAACCAGGGTTCAGGGCCAGAGCCCCCGCCGCGGCCCCCGCACACGTCAGCACCGACCACTGTCGCCTCCCCAACCAAATGGTCAGCCCGCCTTGGTTGATCTGCAAGTCTAGGGAGCTCTCTGAATTTACGCCGCGCCCCACGAGCCGAGGAGGCCAGGATCGCCACTGGTCCACTCCTCGGATGAGCCGACTGAGCCCAGGGTGTGCGGGGCCTGGCTGCTCAGCCCTGACCCCCAGCCTGGGGGCCTGGCTTGCCGCCTGCAGGGGATGCAGGGAGGTGGGGGTGCAGGGAGACGGGGGCGCAGGGAGACGGGTGCAGGGAGACGGGGGTGCAGGGCGATTGGGGTGCAGGGAGACGGGGCCACAGCTCGCCACCACCCCGTGGGGACGCGGTCCTGGTCTCCCCGAGCCTGGCCCCTCCCCCTGGCTCCACGACCAGCCCCACTGTTGCTTCTGGCCGGACTCTTGGCCACTGTGACTGCCACCGTGCCAGCTCCTGAGGACCGGCCACCCAGCCACCCCGAGGAGAAGCAGGCTATCTGCTAGGACAGGGTGGTGGCGGGCAGGGGACAGCCCAGCTCAGGAGTCCAGCTTGACCAGAGGGAACAGCATCTTCTGAGTCTCCAGTAATAATGTCCCCTGCAGCACAGGTCACCACTGTCCCCTGGCTCCTGGCCCCTGGGTCTGTTTAGCCACTGTCCTCCAGCAGGTCTCCCCCTCCCTCCCCCACGGAGCCCCTGGCCTCTAAGCCCTGAGAGGGGCTGGGGATGTGGGTGCGGGCCGGGGACAGGCTGGAGGGCTTACCTCCTGCTCCAGTCCCCAGGATAAGGGCGGCCTCTTCCTAGGCCAGCCGCCGAGGCCCTATTTATATCTGAGGGGCGGGGATGGAGCCAGTCCCAGACTGTTCTGTGTGGGAGCCGGGGGAGGGGGTTACATCACCGTGGGGGTGGGGGCCTCGGGCAGCCCAGCCGGGGACAGCTTCCAGGACGACAGGGTGATCGATGCACGCTTGGCCTGGGGCAGAACGGGCTGGACACGGTCGAGTTACACATTCACTGACGTCCCCCTGCACGGGGCCGTGATTACTGGACACACAAGCGTCCCCTGTGGGTGTCTGACGTGTTTCTGTCCCCATGCGTGGTGGCCGAGTCCAGCGCCGAGGATCCACACTCAGGGTGCATATTGAGAGTCACGCGGCCTGGGGGACCTTTAACCCCACGGCCTTGAAGGCCCAGAGGCTGTTTGAACGGCCATGTGGGGCCCTGACCGCACGCAGCCTGGAAGCCCCCCTCCCCCGGGGGCTCACGGTTTAGCTGGGGAGACACCGAGTCGCCAGCGGCAACGCAGCCAGATGCAAAGGCACCAGCCAAACGCCTTCGGACGGGGCAGGGCATAACCCCTGAAAGCTGGGAGTTTCCGGGGAGCAACGCCATTTGAGTCAAACCTCGAAAGAAAACTGAGCTGGGCTTGGAAGCGGAAGAGGGATTTTCGGAGGCTCGGACGAGAGGGGAGGGCGGGTGGCGGGCTCGCTTGGCGGAGGCCCACGGCCCAGGCGCCGGCCGGGAGCACAACGACAGCAGCAGGACAGCCGCCGCGCCCTGCGCCTCCCCCGCGGGGTCGGCCAATCGAGTTATAAAGTGCGCAGCCTTCCCCGCCGGCCCTGCACGGAGCTTCGGCCGGACTCTCCACGGTTTGGCCTTGACGCACGAGGTGTTTCTTTCAGTCTCAGCGTCAGGAGTTAAGATTGGGGAGTCTGCTTCCGGGGTCTCGTGAAAAGCCGTAATAAACTTTCTGCCAAATGCTGTTGGACGCCAACCCTTCACCGCCCCCTACACCTCATTCCTTTGTCCATGTCCACACGGAAATCGAGAAGAACAAATGCCATTTTCCTCGCCTCGTCGGGAACCGTGGCCAGGTAAGACACGAGCAGAGCCCTGCCGAGGGTTTCCGCTTCCTCAGCACTCCACCTTCTTCCTCCCTCAAGCGTCAATGTGATGTCTGGAGGCACAGCAGCCACTTTGTAACCATGAGACAACAAACGTGAAGCCCGAAGGCCAGCAAGCTAAGGATGATGGAAGAACCTGGACTTTTGGTTGGCATCAGGCCAGCCTGGAACCAACCCAACCATCTCTGGGCCTCTGCTTGTTTGAGCACAATTAGTAGCGTTTTCAGATAGTTACATGCAGTTGAAAACATCCCAAAATAAAGCGACCTTGGCTCCCATGCAGAGGCCAGATGAGCATCCTTCAAGAGCTCCGTTTCGGCCTCTTTGTAATGGGCTTTTCCTTTCACATTGATTTTCGTTGGTTTTGTTCTTCAGGGAACAATCGAGTTATAAAGTGCAGCAATTCCCGGTCAAGTTCGGGACGTCCCCGGTGTGCCCATGAGGTCCGTGGCGCGAAGCCTCGGAGGGGCGACGAGGCTGGGTAGGCTCATGGCTTGCTTTGCCGTCAGATTTTACTCCACCGCACGACACGCTCCGTCCACGACTAGCCCTGAGCCGAGGCTCTTCCCTCGCAGGAAACCGCGTGTGGCCCTGACCACAGAAGCGTGGCGGGCGCACGGGGCTTCCGCGAGCTCGACAGACCGAGGGAGAAGAAATCGTGTCCTGTGCATTCAGGGAGATCTGAGTGATGGTGTCCTAGGGTCAATCCTGGCCGGCCGAGGAAACGCCCATAAAACAACAGAACGAGCATTCGCCTGTTCCAGGGATTGACAAGCTACAGCCCCCGGGTCAGATCTGGACCGCCGTGTGTATCAGTAAAGTTTTATTGGCACGGCACGCTCATTAGCCTGCATGCAGTGCGGCCACATCACGGGGCTAAGTAGCTGCACCAGAGAACCCGGGCCCCGCAAAGCCTAGAATACTTACCTGGCCCTTTACAGAAAAAGCCTGCTGACCCATTCTGTTAACTCGACTGCCAGCGACAGAGGCAATAGGGCTGTACCTGTATGTCACCCTTTCGTTTAAAAATTAGCTTTGTGAACGTCTGTACGTACAGCACTTACTTCATGTGGCATTTTGATCTTTTATTCCTACATGAAAAGATAACCATCCAGGGAATTCTGAACATAGTGACACAAAAAAACTAGGTAACGCGTGTTCTGCCTTTCACAATGAGCGCGACGGGCAGAAATTGTGTCCACCTTATTTACCAGTCGGTGGCTAGAACCGCACGTTTCCAACTTTGTCACTGACTGCAAATGGGTTTTAAAAATAGATCTGCAAAGCTTAAGTCTTGGACATTGGACTGGACCATGGCAGGGGGCGGGGGCAGAAAACAGGAAACTTCTGATTTGGCCATAAACACAAGAACAAAACTAAACAAAAATCCTCTCGGTGGCACGAGCCACAATCGGGAAAATGTGATGAGAATAAAAGCTAATTAATTAATCGGCTTTAAATGGAAGAATTTATCCTGATAAAAAAAACTTCTTAAAAATGAAAAACTTTCATTAACTTTCAGAAAAATAAAAATGATTGAAAATTCATCGGTAGCCATAGACATCCGAATACAGTATTCTTGTTTAAAATGGCACGTTCTCAGGTGTCTGTGGTTTGTTTTGTGGGTGCCCTCCCGGGTCTGGGGTGGCCCTGGACAGGCCTGGGTGTCGCTTCTGTGTCGGGAGAGTTGGAGCGTGAAATCGATGCAGAAAATACTATTTCCAGGTCTGTTTTCTGGCACTTCCTCTGCGGCAATGCGGCCAAACCCACGTTTGCTTTGGCGCTCTGCGGACACCAGCTCTGCTCAGCGTGCGAAACGTTCCGAGAAGAAATGGCTGTCCCAGCGGAAAAATGTCGTCACCCTTTTTCCATAGCTGTGACAAGAACGCTGTCCTTGTGGGCCCGAGGCGCTTTCTCTTGCGAAAACCGAGTTCCGGAAAAAATATTTATTGAATGTCCTTCTTCTATGAAAACATTGCAAGGAAATTTAGGAAAAGACAATATTAGTTCGTGCCGAGAGCAGGAAGGACGGGAGCGTGTGGCAGGTGGCC